GTTTACAACCGCTTCCAAATTCATGGTTAAAAATGTCTTTGAGCGAGCGTATCTCTGGGTTTTGGCGAAGACAAAACTTCTTGGAACCTCGTGGAATGGCACTACGGAATCACAAACAATAGATTATATCAAATGACAGAGACAACATCACTTGAGTACTTTTAACAGCAGCAACAGCTGAAATGGATAGCACATGTAACCTGAAGAGAAAATAATGACATAATCAAGATGTTGACATTCCACATGACTTCAAATAAAAGGTTAGGAAGGAAACTCGCATCACTACTGGAAAAAGCGATAAAAGCTGCTGGATCTGGGAAACCTATTTTCCTGAAAAATTGTTTCAGGATAAAGATTTTTACATTTCATCCAACAACAGGACAGGATGCTCGGTCAATGAATGCCAAATGTTTCTTTATAACATAAATCAAACAAATTGCAATTAAGTTATGTGAGGAAAATGACAACGAGAAGTCTTTTTTTTTTTTTTTTTTTTTTTTGTCGGTGGGGTGGATAATAATATCTTCAGAATTGCACAGCATTTAATACAAAATGCAGATTTAAGGTACTTTGCAGATGAAAAGAGGCGTTGAAAGAAAAACGGTAATACAATGCACCTTCCACCAGGACTGGCAACACAATGGATATTTTGAAGAATTTGATGTTCTATTCCACTGATCATCCAATCTTTTTCCTGTTTTCAAAAGCTTAAATGAATTTTTTTACAGGTGGGGCGGATATTGTTGAATGATTCGTAGCACAGAAGAGCAGAATGCCTAAAATATTTTTAAAGGATTAAATACATTTCAGAATCGAAGATCCCATATGGATTGAACTACAAAATATGCACTAAACTTATACACAGCATCGTTGGTCTGACCTTTCGCTTTATCTATGACGCCAAGAAAACGACAGAAACACACATCATCAAGAGTAAGTTGAGCAACAGGAGGAAACATTTCATCGTCATCGACTCAACACCGCCGATTCAACACCACCAACTCACCACCGGCCAACTGGTGTTGGATGCCATAGTGTGCACATCTCTTAGATCGGCCTCGAACTGAATATTTGAAAGGAAATTGCATACAATTTTCAATAAATTTTTAAATTAAAAATAATTCATGTATTAAAAAATAGGATGCTTAATAAATTATTTTTATTCAGTTTTAAAAGTTATATTCAAAAATGATCCTTAATAAATTACTTTCACACAGTTTTAAAAAGTTACGTTATAAAAATGATACTTAATAAATTACTTTTATTCGGTTTTTAAAAGTTATATTTTAAGAAAAATTCTAAATAAATTAATTTATTCGGTTTTAAAAAGATATGTTTTAAAAATTATCCTTAATAAATTATCCTTAATAAATGTTTTAAAAATTATCCTTAATAAATTCCATTTTTTTATAACTTGCATGTCGTTGAGTCGTCGATGTTGAGTCAGCGGCGTCGTCGAGTCGTTCTGCACCCTTGTACAACGATGTTGTCAACAAAAAGAGGAATGGGGCCAACAGTATCGCTGCGCAAGATAGCTACTAATGTAAATGTAGCTCCTCAAGACCGCCGGAGCAAACATGCATGCAAAGCCGAAACTTAAATCGTACACCAGGAAGCCAAGAGTCACGGAATTCATGAATTTCAGGATGCTTTGAAAATTCAAGAACGTTTTCAGATGTCTCAGGAATCATTGATTCATATTTGGAAACATTCTCTATGATGAGAAAATCTTCACCGCCGACGATATTTAAACGACTGAAACAAGATGCCAATAGGGAACGTCAAGAGAACCTTCAGAAAGAAATATCTAGATCAGGTCATGTTCTTAGGTGTCGTAAAAAATCATGAGAAAAAGATACGCTCGTTTTCTATAAACTAGGCGGGAACTAGAACAGACCCTACTGACAAGAAAAGTGACTGTCTCTGCGCTTGGCTGGTAGGGTAAGCATATTACTGCTCCCGCAAATGTATGAAAGAGGCGAGGAACGAATTTATTATTAAACTTATCAAAATGTGAAGAAAATATTCGTCATGAAAATGATCGCCTGTTTGAGACCCCCTGCTATAGACTGAGGAAATAGAACACTTTGTGCACCTACCGTAAAGAAAAAAGAAAAAAAAAGAAGAATTTGTTCGAGTTGATAAGTTCTCAGTCTGGCTAAGGAGGAATTGCAGACGTAATTCTGGTATTTGTTTGCTTGGTCTGATTTTGAGAAGTGGGTGCTGGCCAACAAATCATCTTCATCCACACCTGAATCGAATATCCATAATTACGTGAGCAATTGTTGAATGTTAACGATTTCTTTCGCCTGAATTTTTTCAGTGGTTATCAGCGGGGTAAGTAGAAGCGAGAGGTTGAGTTCACATTCTGGTTTAGTTTGTTGTATTCAATTACGCACTAATGCCTTTAGAAAAGGCATAGCTTCATCTTTTCTCCGCTCTATGAGTAAAATAACAAGAAAGTCTGAACTCTGTTGCAGAAGGACATCATTGAATTCCAAACCGTGAAGATAGAAACTGGAAACTACTCCATTATCTTTCCCAAATAAATTCACAATAATAAAGAGAAATGAATTTATGAATATCCATAATCGTCAACATCCTGAAAGGATATCGGATTAAGAACGTAACGATTGTCTGCTCGTAATCTCATTATCGTGTAATCATCGGTATTAGTAGTGAGTTTAATCCTCACTGTGTGTCTCACTCTAATAACATTGTGCCCAGATTAGCTATGATTATAAATAATAGCCTGACACATCGGCCTGGGTAAACTAATCTTCGGAATCTTTCATAATGTTTCAGGATGTGGAATTAATAAATATTAAACACTTCAAATATCTCGGAGTATTGTGACATTCTAAGCATAGACCAGATGTGGCCGAAATTATGGGGCATCCAGTGAGGATCAGACTCACTATTCAGTCGCAATTGATCTAGCGAGACAAGCTTGCTAACCATTGCATCACGCCAAAATAACACAAAGCGATTTTCTAAGCCTGGCTCAGATGTGACACAAGGCCTAAGGAGTGGAGAATGAGGATCGAACTCACTACTCAGTCGGAATGGATCTAGCGAGACAAGCTTGCTAACCATTACAACACATAGAGGTGCATATACCTCGGAGTATGGACCAATTATATCATTATATTATGTCATGTATTGAATAGCCTTTTCGTATCGAGTCTTTCACATGGATGTCATGCATTGCGCTAAACCCGTTCTAAAATGTCTAAACTCTCAGTTGTATATTTTGTCACGTTTGCTATATGTTCACTCTCTCTACTACTACTGTACAGATTACGATTCTCTTCTGATCATTATACTATTTAGCAATTACTACTTGAATAAGAAGAAGAAGGAGGAGGGAAGAAGAAGAAGAAGAAGAAGAAGAAGAAGAAGAAGAAGAAGAAATATGGTGGAAAATGAAAAGAAAGAATAAAGAAAATGGTGTGTTATATCAGAAAAAGAGAGGATGTGAAATAATTGAAGGAGGAGGAGAAAGAAGTGGCAAAAGGCGATAAAAAGAGAAAAAAAAAAGAAAGAAGAAAGGAAATGGCTGAAAGAATCAGAAATAGAGCGGAAGTGAAATAACTGAAGAAGAAGAAGAAAAGAAGAAGAAGAAGAAGAAGAAGAAGAAGAAGGGGGAAAAGGAAGAAGATGGAGGGTAATATCAGGGAAAGGAGAAGGAAGAGAGAAAAGAGGGATAAAAGAGAAAAGAAAGAAAGAAGGAAATGGCGGGAAGGATCAGAAAATGAGCTGGAATGACATAATAAAGAATAATAATAATAATAATAATAATAATAATAATAATAATAATAAGAAGAAGAAGAAGAAGAAGAAGAAATATCGTTAGAGTTGACGAAGATGGAGAAAGCAGTCAGAAGCTTATGTCGGGTAAGTAAGGGTTTCAACACTATGATTATAATAAGACAAAAATAAGAAAGAAATGAAATAGAGAAAAAGATAAGAAAGGAAAAGAAAAAAAAAACTTTTTTTCGTATTTCGCCGGTTCTCCTAAGAGTGCCGACCCATCTGTCATCTTGTGTCCCTCTATCAGTAATTAACCTTACCCTAACCTTAAAACGAAGCCCCACGACCTTTCACACGGAAAACTTATTTTTTTAATAAACTATTTTCCTTTTCTTTTTTCCTTCGTACTTAGACAAATAAAAACATTTCCGATTCAGCACGGCCTACATTATTCAGAAACACCGATTTAGTTCATTTCTTTTTAGTCTTTTTTTTTCTTTACTAAAAGAGCTGAGAGAAGCCCAAAGAATAAGAACATATGTGTATGTATATCGTTTAGTGATATACTATGCATATGAGTTAAAAGTTATTATATATATATATATATATATATTGTAAAATAAAAAAGTCTCATTAAAAACGACTGACAAAGTACTGAGATTAAGCTTTAATTCAACGTTTCTTGTGTTTTCAAAAGTGTTTTGTTTCTGAACATAAATTGTGTAAAAAAAAATGTCCCTATATTCTATAGCAATTTCCCAAGCGTAGCTTAGATATGGCACAAGGCCGAAAGGGGTGGGAACCCAGTGCGGATCGAACTCACTCGTAATTGCTTTAGCGAGACAAGCTTGCTAACTATTACACCACCTCGAGCTGTCCCTGTTCATATATTCTCTATATCCGAGCGCTTTCTCGTTATCCATTATTATTATTATTATCATCATCATCATCATCATCAAGGATATTTTTTTAATTTTTAACTGAATATGTAGATTTTTATATGTTTATCTAGTAGACGGGTGGCCAGTGCTGGGCGTGTGAGTGGTGTATTGGTTATCGGCTTGGGAAGAGTAAAGCAGTAAATCTGAGTTCGAATTCACGTCAAGTTAGTTACTCATTCATTTACGCGCAAATAGATTTGGTATGAATTAATTTCTTCACCTTCACATCATTGTTCAATGCAATATTCATTCGCAAAAAATTATGAATAATTCTTAAAATACAAAATGTTTCGGGTTTAAATAATTCTAGGTGTAGAGAGAGAGAGAGAGAGAGAGGAGATTAGAGCAAGATAGCGGGCGAGTGAAGGTCAGAAAGGGAGGAGAAATGTAGGGGGATGAAGGAGGGGAGGAAAAGGGAGAAAATAAATGAGAGAAAAAGATAGAGAAGATAGAGAAGATGATGGATAAAACAAGGGTCATATGGAAAAGGAGAGAGTACCGGACGGAGGAGAGATTGGTAGATAGATTAGAAGGGGAATGGAGAGAGATTGGGAGTGAAGGGGTGAGAGGATGAAAGAATAGGAGAGAGGAAAAGAAGAAGAAGAGAGAGGAAGGTAGAGAGAGACACAGTGAAAGAGAAAGCTTAGCATTGCCTCTCGTTTATTCACTGTTAAGCAATATCTCCCTTAGTCAGTATTTAGATGGGTAACAACTTTAGCAATAGCATGCATTGTCGTCAGCGTTGCAGGCCTGAACCTGATTGGGCAAAGCTGAGCAAATAGAGGGAAAGAATCGTTTTCCTGGCAAAGATTGGAATGATTAAGAGAGAAAGGAAAATAATTAAACACAGAGGTAAAGCAAATAAACGCTAAAAAGACAAATGCTTAATTCAATTACAAGCAAAAGGGAATAAAGAAATAAAAAGAAAAACAAATATAGCTTTAAAAGATAAAGATCACTCCCTTGACACAATGTAATTCTGCAAGAAACCAATTAACTGGCACATAAACTGTTAGGTTAAAATTAAGTAAAAGCATAGCGACAGTAAAAAAAAAATCCTTGACTATTTTTTATTGATTTGAACATTTTTGGAGCCAGTTGATTTTTGAAGGATTGATTTATTTTTTTTTAAGGACCGACTGGGCCCTATAGCCATGGGTGGTAACCAGTCTTGGAAAAGGAAATTCTGAATTCAAACCACCTGCTTCCTTGTATGCCTTGCATCTTTAAGCAAAGAAGAAACTAACCGTCTCTGAGATGATACAAGAGAGACCAAAAAAAGCATCGTAGAAAATTTTGTGGTCAAAATGGCAAAGGTGCGGATATCAGTCTGGATAATTCTGAAAATATGGATGATGATCTGTCTCTGAGGTGCAGATAAGACAGAGAAATCGAGAGAATGAACCAGGGAAAATCTAGTGATCAAAACAACAAAAATGAGGATATTAGTCTGGATAATTCAGCAAATCCCAGCTATTGATAAAATAGCACGACAGACTAGGTTCTATAGCTTTGGGTGGCAACCAGTATAGAAAAAGGAAACACTGAATTCAAACCACCTGCTAAGACACGTCTTGCCTTTTAGGCAAAGGCTAGAAGAAGGTAACTTTAAAAACAAATTCAACTCTGAGGGGGGTAACATCAACATCTCCGACGAAATAAGAACCGGCAAGGTCATTGCCCTATTCTGCTTAGAATGTCACCATGGACCACAATTGTGTGATGGAGGTTGAGTGGTAAGCACAGCGGAACAAAATAAATGAATGACTTAATTTTTTATGGTTTATCAACCCTTTATAGGTTATTTAAAGCAGAAACATATTTTGGATTTTAATAATAATTCTTTGACAGCGAAAAATGCATTCATATTTTTTTCAGAATAACTATATTATTTCCACATGCAAATCTTATTATTTAACCTACAGCTGGGAGAGGACATACCTATTTCACCCAAGGCTATTTTATTGCAGGTTAATGCATCGAAAACCGACTGGAATTCGAACTCGACTCTCCGGTTTCTGATTCCGAGCTAAACATTCTAGCTATCCATTACACCAACTGCATATTCGGTTTTTCAAGGAGAATTCTTGACAAGTGGCAAGAAAATTTGCCATTAGTTGTAGCTTGAAAGAATATTTATCCCCGAAATAAACAAAAGTAAGCAATAAGAGATATGTCGACAAACCTTTAACACAATAACGTCCGCGGATAACATCGGCCGAAATATAGTAATCGTAGAAAGCAAAGAAGTGAAATATGGACAGAAACCAGAAAACGAGCTAGCAAACAAAGAATTCGTGCGATCAGATTTTTTCTCGATATGCAATGTTGAAGAAATATGACATTTTATATGAAATATATTGTATGAAATATGAAGAAATATGCTATTTTAGTTTGAAGTCAGAAAAGAAATATGAGCAGAAACCAGGAAACGGGTTAGCAAACAAAGAATTCAGAATTTTTCTCAGTATGCAATTGTAATTAAGTTGTGCCAATCAAATTATAACACAGAACTTGAATCACTATTGCTTAACATTTTTTCGATTCAATATTTAGTTACATTTCAACCAGTGTCAGTGTGAACACAGAATATATAATTGCCGGCTACTCGTTTCGGAGCATACACGTCTGCTAGGGCTGCTAAAAAAATCTCTATTGCAAACGCTTTCTCAGCCTCATATGCGTTTGTTCTACACCTATAGATCCCCAACTATTTTGAGTCTGGATCTTAGTTGCATTTTCTGAGTCATGGCGCATTATCTGGCGTGATCAATAGATTAAACAAGGCCAAGTACACTAAACACCTCAGTCACTTGTCTGATGACAACCATAAATCGTTGTCCCCGTTGCCAGGGACCTGACTAAGTCTATTCTTAATTTTAATAATATTGCCGTCCCTGGTCTTATGATAAATATTTATTCATATATAAATAAGCATAAAAGGTTTCTGGATTGTTTACATGGGGAAGACTGTAGAATGTATCAACCGAAATATTGTTGTTAAAAACAAAAGGTAAGAAAAGTAAAATGAAAAAGAATAAAATAGAATAATTAAAAGTCCCCCACCAAAAAAACAAACTAAAAAAAAGTATGGCATAAAACAATACGCATTTAAAAATATCATTAACAAAGTGAGCCGAATTAAAAATCTCTTGCTGAAGCAATTTCTTGTAAACATTTACAAGTATCGTGGACAACAGAAACGACCCATCCCTATTCAAGAACATTACAAGGTTGGGTCATGAAGGATGGCTGTACTGACAACACCCACCTCAAGGAGAATAAAGTATACCAAGAAAATGTCCTTACTTCCTTTCATTGAATGGCCTGCCAATTATCATTGTCAAGATGATGCCATTTCTTCCGGAATACAGGAACCCAGCCTCTTTTAAGGTGGGTGAATCATCTTTGTGTATAGTTCTTTACTTTGGGTGGGAGGTGTTTACTTTCATGTATTTTTGTGTTTTAAGGTATGTCTATATGGTCAGACGGTAGGTCTAGTAAATTCACTTTACCGAGACAAGGATAGAAACTTCTTATTGTAGTCATTAATTTGAGTACTCTGAGGTATGTAAGTTGTGGTGGGTTTTTTTCAATTTGGGATGGTGGGGACAGAATTTTTGTCACTATGCAACTATAATAAAAAGTGGGTGCCGATTAAATTATGACACAAGACTTGAAACTTCGTTACGTAACATAACTTAAGTTTCTTCCGTTTAAAAATATCTGGGATTTGCCGAATTTCTTTTAGATAACCTTCGCTAACTAAGGTTACAGAATCCGAACGAGATTTCCACTGGGATTGATGAGAAAAATCGATATGAAATGCAAAACTTCCGTTTTGTTAAGGCAGTTAACCGACACTACAGTATCTAATGTTTCTAATGCTATCGTTTATTTCACTCTGAAGTGCCTAGTACAAGTGATGGTTTTAACAATTTGGAAAAACCAGAATCTTTCTCAGTATGCAAGTGTAATTAAGCAGGGGGTGCTAATCAAATTATAACACGAAAATTGAATCCTCATTACTTCTTTTTTTCACTCCAATATTTAGTCAGTTAATTTCAGGAAGTGTGGTTGTGAAGCGGATCCCAGAACTTTAATCCGATATGTGGACCTTACATTTTACCTCTGCTATGTGTGAGAGACTGCCCTTGACTCCCTGGAGTAGTTTTCTATATAACCGCGTGTATTAAAAAAGTTTTTTCCATACTAGCAAAGCGGCCGGAACTGATCCTGTTTCGACACCTTGGTGTACTTTGATGTCTGTTACGAATTGTTCGGCATGTCTATTCCGCAACATTCTAAAAATAAACGTGCCTCTTAATAATATTTGGGTGGGTAAATAAAAATGTCTGAAACTAGTTAGCGTAATGATCTTAATAACCTGGAGATGTAAAAACATTACAAAAAAAATGAACGTTTACCACTCCGGTAGACATCTAGTAACTTGATAAATTCAATTCTACTTAACTATGGTTATCAAACGAGAACCGATAGTTTCAGTATGACTAATCTGAAAGCTCTTATTTACTCAGTCAGTGTGGTACGAGGGCATAAGGGCAATCAGTGTAGATCAAATTCCCTAATAAAGTATAATCTAAGAACAGGTTGAAAACATTTACTAGAAGGCGAACTACCGGTATTCTTAAGGTAAGATTAGTCTGACAGAAGGCTACATTAGCAGACACCTAACATGGATGAAAATCACTATTATTTATATGCGGACTGTTTTCCGCATCTTTTTGTGGAACACAACAACAAAAATGACGAGGATAGTCCACATGTAAATATTGATAACTTTTCTACCTAATAATTTAGACAGAAAATCACTATCATTGTGAAATGCCTGCAAGACAAGCATCACTTCAAAATAGGGGGCCCATTTAGTAAATATTAGATGTGTGGAAAAGTTACCAGCGACAAAGCGCTTTTCAACTATGCAGCCAGCCTCTAGTTTTCAAGAGAAAAAGTAAATCTGATTGGTTCAACAATGTCAAATTGGAAGCTTATCTGGAAAATAAACTTCAATCTGTTCTTAACTCGGTCAAGAAATGTCTTGTTAATTTTAACGTCTTCAGAACTTGTAATCGTTTCACAAAACTATTTTTTTGCCTCTCCTCAACATGCTAACCCCCGAGAGACTAAGACATTGCGTCTTCTTCGTGTGAAGTTTTTCACTGACATGAATTGGAGCGGTTATATCGAGTCAATTTTCTGTGTCTTTTCTATAAATATTTTGAAGGCAATTATTTTTATGAGCTTTCCGCTTTGGTAACTCGCCTTTACGAGTCTAAGTACATGACTACGGCTAGGCAACATCTTTTTCCCTGATGAAATTGCTAAATGAGAACGTAATTTCCATCCGTATAGTTTCTTCTGTCGCACTTTTCGCCTGTAGAACTCTGGCTTCTTGCTTTCCTATTAACTACAATCTACAAAAAACTTAAAAGCAACTTAAATATTGTCATTTTTCTTTCTCCTTGAATCCCGTTACTTTTATTGTCCTTTCTCCTTGGTAACGTGTTCTCTGTTTTCTTTACTTTCATTAACTTATTGCGTCTTAATTGGTTTATCGCCTTGCTTGGGGTGAAATGATTAAAAAAAATCAACTTTTCTCTGGATATCATTTACTACCTTGTTTAAGGAGTTTTTCAGAACCAAAACACGGACGGGAAATACACACCCCTTTTTAAAAAAATTCCTGACGGTTTCTTGTATATCTTTTTTGAGTTTCGAGTTACTAAAAACTTAGTACGTACAGGGTCAAAGGACGTTCTTCACGAAACGTCTCCCATTTTTTCTTTGAAAATCGCGACCCGTCTTGTGGTAAATACCTGGTTTTCAGTGGAAATTACCATTCTTCTATTCTTGCCTTACACACACCAAAAAAAATTTACCATCACAAAAGTTTCCGAGAGTTATTTAAAAGGGAAGCGAGAACAGAATGCAATTCAGAAGTAGTCATCTATTAAGATAAACGGCTAACACCTGCGCCAATAATCATTTACTAAGCTTAATATAGATATGCACAAGACAGCAGGCACAGAAAAGGAAATACTTCTACAGAGGGTAGTAAAGGAAAATAAGAAGAAAAAAACTAAACATGTAAGAAGATAGAATATATGGTTGTCAGCAAATGAAACAGCCCAACATGCGAATTGCAAATTGAAGCAACGAAAAATCAATAAGTGCGAGAATTTAAATATTTAGGAATGTTCTAACAGAAGACGGAAAATGTGACACTGAAGCTGTACTGGAATAACGATAGATGTCTTTAAAAGTATTAAGAAACAAGAAAATTTCATTAGAGCGAAAGAGAAGAGTACTGGGCTGTTATGTAATATCAGTCCGCCTATATGGCAGTGAATTTTCGACAATCTCCTCACAAATGGAGAAAAGACTTGTGAAATGTGGTTCATCAGAAGGGTCTTTGGAAGCCCATGGATTGAACAAGTGAGCAACGAAGAAGTTTTAGGGGAAAATGGAAAAAGGACACATACTTAGAATCGGAAAGAAGCAGTTCAAATTTCTATGGTGATTAATCATGAAAGATGTCTTAGAGAATTTGTCACTCACTGAATATATTAAATGCATGAAGGACAGAAAAAAGAAGCGGATAGCTTAACTAACGACAGGGCAAAATATAAACTTATTAAGAGAAACACAAGGCAGGAAACTGTAATCGTCTACATTCTAAAGGATACAGTACAAAGAAGAAGAAGAAGAAAAAGAATAAGAAGAAGAAGAAAGAAAGAAAGATAGAGAGAAGAAGAAGAAGAAAGAGAGAAGAAGAAGAAGAAGAAAGAAAGAAAGATAGAGAGAAGAAGAAGAAGAAGAAAGATAGTGAGATGAAGAAGAAGAAAGAAAGATAGAGAGAAGAAGAAAAAGAAGGAGAGAAGAAGAAGAAGAAAGATAGAGAGAGAAGAAGAAGAAGAAGAAGAAGAAGATAGAGAGAAGAAGAAGAAGAAAGAAAGATAGAGAGAAGAAGAAGAAGAAGAAAGAGAGAAGAAGAAGAAGAAGAAGAAGAAGAAGAAGAAAGAAAGAAAGATAGAGAGAAGAAGAAGAAGAAAGAGAGAAGAAGAAGAAGAAGAAGAAGAAAGAAAGATAGAGAGAAGGAGAAGAAGAAGAAAGATAGTGAGATGAAGAAGAAGAAAGATAGAGAGAAGAAGAAGATAGAGAGAAGAAGAAGAAGAAGAAAGAAAGAAAGATAGAGAGAAGAAGAAGAAAGATAGTGAGATGAAGAAGAATAAAGAAAGATAGAGAGAAGAAGAAGAAGAAGAAGAAGAAGAAAGATAGAGAGAAGAAAAAAAAGAAGGAGAGAAGAAGAAGAAGAAAGATAGAGAGAGAAGAAGAAGAAGAAAGAAAGATAGAGAGAAGAAGAAGAAGAAGAAAGAGAGAAGAAGAAGAAGAAGAAGAAGAAAGAAAGATAGAGAGAAGGAGAAGAAGAAGAAAGAGAGAAGAAGAAGAAGAAGAAGAAAGAAAGATAGAGAGAAGGAGAAGAAGAAGAAAGATAGTGAGATGAAGAAGAAGAACGATAGAGAGAAGAAGAAGAAAAGCCCTTATATTTAATTCCTATTTGAATTTTCTTGATTATTATTTACACTATATATAGCCGGGTTATTGTCCTCATCTTTGTTGTTGTTATCACAATGTTTCGGACGTTGTGCCCTCCAGCCTTCATCATGTGTATAGTGATCTGGGTAATCTATAAGAAATTCTGAGATGAACCCCTTTATTTAATCTACGGGGGTAGACTGTACATGTTCTACTGCCTATGTCTAGGGATATCATCCAGTTCTTATTTTTATTACTACTCACTTGTTGTTCGCCTGTCTCCAGAGTTCAAGTACACACTGCCCGGCCTAGTGATTGAACTCACAGTTGCTATGTCATCAAATTCACGAACCAAAGCTTTAATCCACTAATCCCGTGATAATACTAATCTGACATCCAGTTAGAATTGAACTCACTGCAGTAATCATTCGAGACGAATTTTATAAGATATTAGAGAAGCAGATAGGTTCGCTTATTCCCCTGTTCACACTCCTCCCTGCCTTTTTAAAAGTTGTAGAGGTTTATCCCTATTTAGAATTGCATTTCCTCTAAAGTCTTTTCATTCTCTTTTACTCCTGGTAGCCCCTTGCATGTTCGCGATATTATTGCCTTACTTTGGGGTGGATTGGTTAAAAAAAAAAACAACGATTCTCTCATTTCAGAACACTCAAGATGAATTTGACTAAATAAAGAATACATAATCCGATCAGAACTGTCCCTTACTCTTGCGAAAGATTTATTAGTTGAGCGCTTGTGTACGACAAATGGTTAAACATTACATTTAAGAAATTGAAGAGTAGAATGATTGCAAAGATATAATGCAAACGCCTGGAATTCCGTTTCAAAATATCTAACATACACCAAACGATTTTTTTTGTTTTTTTTTTTGAGTAACCTTCGCTAACTCATGTTACAGAGTCTAGACAGAATTTTCTCTGGACCTGATAGGAAATATCGATATATATACACACACACACACACACACACACACACACACACACATATATATATATATATATATATTGATAATATTAGTGGTAAATATACACATACATATGCAAAATATATATACATACATGCATACATACATATATATATTTTTGAATAAAAAAATTACAAGAGGTCTGATGAATTGGATCGTATTGACGATTCCAATGGAATAAATTATGACTATGGAATATTAGTGTTTAAGCTTTTTATATATATATATATATATATATATATATATATATATGAAAAGAAAAACTTCTGTTTTCTAAGGGGTAAACGAACAGATAGTGCTTTAGTCGATTATCAGCAAGAAAAATCTAAATCTACATCAGCAACGAACGAAACATTTCACGTTTCCTTTTAACATTTTCTTTATCCTCCATTTTTGTTTTTTTTTCATTCACTTACCGTATTTACTCAAGACGTTTTTATGGTCAGATTTTCTTTTTTCGCAAAAATACATTGGTGGTCGCACTATACACATGTAAGTTTTGGGGAGAGTTAGGAAAAACATCCATCTTTTGTTTTCAGTATCTTTTTCAAGTAATTATTTCAGAGGAATTAAAATTCGTGCAAAACAATTCAGGGCTGGAACGATACATGAAGTCGGTTTGTACACGAGGATAAACGATTTAAACACACTTTGATGAAGAAGCATAGGAACTGTATTCAGAGAAGGGATGGAAAATATCAGACGTTGCGTAGATACGGCACATGGCTGAAAGTAAGGATTGAACTCAGTTAAAATCACGCTACCCAGACAAGCTTGCTAACCATTACACTACGTCGTAATGCCAAATGTTAAAGCAAGTGTAAATACCGAACAAACTGTCATGTTTTTCTTCAATATAAAGTACATCATAATAAAACCTATTCACTTAAAGGAAACATTTTAAAGCAAAAAACTGTACCAAATAACAGAAACCAGATCACTGGAGGAATTTCAACAGCAGCAACAACTAAAATGGATATCATATGTAGCTTGAAAAGAGCGTAATGACATACTCAAAATGCTGACGTTCCACACTACATAAAACAAAAAGGTTAAGAAGGAAGTCTCCATCAATACTGGAAAGATCGATAACAGTTACTGGACTTCATAAAGCTATTTTTCTGAAAGATTGTTTTAATAGAAAGATTTTATAAATTTCAACTGGAAATAACAATAGCTTCTCGATCAATGAATGCCGAAGAGAGAAGAAAAGCGTAATTCGAGTAGAACAGGTTGTTTAGTAAATGAATGCTGAATATTTCCTTATAAGGAAATGGCTGATATTACCGTTAGCATTAGAGATTAGAAGAACAGATACTATACTTTGATCTCAGTCGGATGGACAGGAAATGAAGAAAAGTATAACCCGAGTAGCCACAGCCTATTCGGTCAGTGAATACAAGAAAACGATTAATATTAGCATTACCATTTGGCATATATGAATCAATAACATCATTATACTCTTGCGCGTTGGGAAAATTAATACGTAAAATTTAGGAATAGTTTATTTCTTGGTTTGACCGTGGAAAAAGGAATCGCGAATGAGAGGAATCATTCTACATTGAAAACGGCAAAATCCTTACAAAAATCTCTTTTTATTAAAAAAACAAAAAACAAAACAAAACAAAAAAAAGCTAAAAAAAAATCTGACAATGAAATTCAAGTGGTTCATCAAATTTCAGCCAGACAACTAAGTCTGGTCATGGTAAAAAATGGAGATCATTTGACAATTTGGCTGGCAATGATTGATTAGTTTGTTTAACGGCATATCAACTCCTTATGGGTCATTTAATGTCGAAATTCAAAATTAAAATTCAAATTTAATTGGGAGCTTTGAAGTAATAAAAATATGATATATGTCATTCTGTTTTCCGAATTGAATACATGGTAGATGATACTCTGCTTTTGTGTGTATATGACTACTAGATGTGGTGATATGTGTATTTTATGTTGAAGTTATATTTTGGAATAGATTTCATTAAGAAATTATAAGATATTTGAATTAATGTCATGAAAAAGTTCTTTCATGTAGGTTGGTTGATTTTGTTTAGCGACATATCAACCTCTATGTATCATTTAATGCCGAAATCTAAGTATCTTGAATACAATTTTATGGTTTCAAATAAATATATTTTGAAAGCAATTTTATACCTTCAACTTGCTATAAAATGTATTGTTGGTAACCTTAGTATAAATATGTATTGTTGGTAATTTTGTTATATAAAAATGTATTGGTGGTATTATAACTTAAAAAATATATATATTTATTTCTATTTTTATACATTTATAGCGTTTTGCTTTTGTTTGTGGGCTCACTATTTGCCTATAGCTAACACAGGTTTCAGCATCCTGTGTCAGGGTGAACCTGGGAACAACAGTAATTATGATGTGGTTCTATGCTTCTAAAAAGCTCCAATCTCCCAACCAGAGGCCTTGCTGCCAGATGTAGTTTATCGTCATGTCCAGGACAAGACTGGTAACGATGTTTGCATTGCAAAGAACTACAGAGTAAAATTGGAAGAAATTGAAAAGCTACAGAAAAATTTAAACTTCACCAACGGACTGACGAAATCGTCGATCATAAAGATGCGAGTTATGTACATCATCATTGGCGAGCCTCAAATGCAAATGCGAATACATATTTTTGAACAACTCGTAAAAAACCACGCAATGTATTTAGAAGAACTGTAAAGTGAAAATAGATAGGAAATCAGCAAGGTGATTTTTTTTATTAATAACGAGCGAGAAAATATAACGAGGCGCAAAGCGAATAAGAAGAAGAAGGCAAAGAAAACAGAGACTGAGAAGAAGATGCAGTAAACCCAGAGTGATAAAGGTGAAAAGCAGAAAGCAAAGGGTAGAACAATAAAGAGGACAACAATGAGGAAAGTAAGGGATAAAGGAATAAACCAGGGAGCAAGGAGAAGAGGAACACAATGGAGAGCAAGAGGAAGAAAAAAGAGAGCAAGTAGAAGAAGGCAGTGAAGAGCAGGGGGATGAGGAAGAAACTGGAGAGCAAAGCTAAGAGGGAGAAACTGAAGTGCAAACCTAAGAGGAAGAAAATGGAGGGCAAGGGGAAGAAAATGGAGAGTAAAGGGAAGAGAAAGAAACTGGAGAGCAAAGCTAAGAGGAAGAAAATGGAGTGCAAGGGGAAGAAAATGGAGAGTAAAGGAAAGAGGAAGAAACCGGAGAGCAAATCTAAGAGGGATAAAATGGAGTGCAAGGGGAAGAAAATGGAGAGTAAAGGGAAGAGAAAGAAACTGGAGAGCAAAGCTAAGAGGGAGAAAATGGAGTGCAAGGGGAAGAAAATGGAGAGTAAAGGAAAGAGGAAGAAACCGGAGAGCAAATCTAAGAGGGAGAAAATGGAGGGCAAGGGGAAGAAAATGGAGAGTAAAGGGAAGAGAAAGAAACTGGAGAGCAAAGCTAAGAGGAAGAAAATGGAGTGCAAGGGGAAGAAAATGGAGAGTAAAGGAAAGAGGAAGAAACCGGAGAGCAAATCTAAGAGGGAGAAAATGGAGTGCAAGGGGAAGAAAATGGAGAGTAAAGGAAGAGAAAGAAACTGAGAGCAAAGCTAAGAGGAAGAAAATGGAGTGCAAGGGGAAGAAAATGGAGAGTAAAGGAAAGAGGAAGAAACTGGAGAGCAAATCTAAGAGGGAGAAAATGGAGTGCAAGGGGAAGAAAATGGAGAGTAAAAGGGAAGAGAAAGAAACTGGAGGGCAAAGCTAAGAGGGGAAAATGGAGTGCAAGGGAAGAAAATGGAGAGTAAAGGAAAGAGGAAGAAACCGGAGAGCAAATCTAAGAGGGAGAAAATGGAGGGCAAGGGAAGAAAATGGAGAGTAAAAAAAGGGAAGAGAAAGAAACTGGAGAGCAAAGCTAAGAGGAAGAAAATGGAGTGCAAGGGAAGAAAATGGAGAGTAAAGGAAAGAGGAAGAAACCGGAGAGCAAATCTAAGAGGGAGAAAATGGAGTGCAAGGGGAAGAAAATGGAGGTAAAGGGAAGAGAAAGAAACTGGAGAGCAAAGCTAAGAGGGAGAAAATGGAGTGCAAGGGAAGAAAATGGAGAGTAAAGGAAAGAGGAAGAAACCGGAGAGCAAATCTAAGAGGGAGAAAATGGAGGGCAAGGGGAAGAAAATGGAGAGTAAAGGGAAGAGAAAGAAGCTGGAGAGCAAAGCTAAGAGGGAGAAGTTGGAGAGCAAAGCTAAGAGGAAGAAAATGGAGTGCAAGGGGAAGAAAATGGAGAGTTAGGAGAAGTGGAAGAAATCAAAGTGCTATGATAAAAGGAGCGAACAGGAAGAAGAAATCGAAGAGTAAGGAGAAAAGGAAGAAATCAGAAAGCAGAGTGAGATGAAGAAAGCAAAAAGAAGAAGAAAGTTAAAGAGCAATAAGGAGTGGAAAAAGAAAAAAAGAGAGAAAACTGAATGCGAGAAGATGCTGAGCGAAAAGACGAAAACGAAACGACAAAAACAGAATAATAAGGCAAAAAGAAACGGAGCTTCCAACTGAACGGTCTACAAGGCCCTCAAGTGGGTGGATAAATGAATATACAAATAAGATGTCTTGATTACATCCACAAAAGAAGCATTAAACACTAAATAAAAAAGATAGAAAATGCAATTCACAGACAGTTATTGAAAACGCAGAAAGCAGGCTAACAACAAACCGAACGTAAATTATATATATATATATATATATATATATATATATATATATATATATATATATATATATATATATATATATATATAATCTTGTCCGTCAGGCAAGCGTTGTCTCTCCACTGGTTTTAGCCTTGGCTCTTCCACTGCTCTGAAGCATATATTATTTACCTACATTACAGAGCCGCCACTCCCCTGTTATGGTAAGGCCCATGTCTATACGGTTCGCCTGCTACTAGAATTGTGTATTTAATAACCATGCCAGCGGGATGCCTATGCCTTTGTATCCCGAACATCGTCCAATAACGTTTACTCTCCGAATTGCAAGATCAGACGATATGATTTTGTGGGGGTGAAGACCACACAAGAAGTTAAGCACTGAAAAGACCAAGTTACATCTATAACTTACTGGATAACCTAAACTAAGGTCAAAACACACGTAAAAATAATAATAATAAACAAAAGAAAAAAACAGCGATCTAAAATGTGATAAGAAAATTCTGAATACATAATTGGAAAGTGAAAATTTTCGGCCTGGCCTAATTCCGAATATCTTAAGGCTTTTAGTCAAACCTTTCTGCACCTCCATATAGTAGCAATGATCTATCCGCAACTCATGCTTTGGAATCTTACCTTGAGTCCAGAATGTCGGCACACAGTAAACGTGTGTTTGATTGATGTGACTTCGACGGCTGGTCGCTTCTGATCAGTTCTATAGATAATCCATTCGCATTTTACACCGGGTGGAGGTAGCTTTGGATATCCCGGGCTTTGTATAAAAACACTGGTCGTCGACATATTATTTCCACAGACGCCTGTCAGTAGGAATAAATAAAAATGAATAAAAATAATTCGTACAACATTCGATTAAATTTTAGCGAAATGGGTTTTCAAAAGATACTAGTCTACGTATAATTGTTGTGCTGGTTTCTTAAAAAAAATATGTTGCACTTTTTGCGTTCGATGGCATTAGGAATGTTTTCTTTTCTAAGGATAGCCCCTCCCCTCCCCAAAATGTACTGCAACCGTTTTTTTTTTATCAGCGTTCATTTAGTTATTGTGAAAATGTTCTTATTAATATTTTGCTTAATTCTGGAAATCATCTTTCCAATAAGCTTTCGAATATCGGTGTCACATCTTTTATCGTCTGTTCTGGCTTGTTAATTTTAACGCCGAAGCTGTTCTCTTATAATCGTCTTTTTTAAGAATAGTTTTGCTTTCCAGCAGCATGACTGATGCTACCCTCCAGAAATGCGGCTCACTGCATCTTCTCTGTCTTTTTCTATTTTCGATTATATCGAACCAATTGCTAAGTCTGCTGCTAAGAATATAGGTTCACTATATAGTGTTAGATATTTTCTTGCCAAGTTAAATTAATCTTCCATATTTATAAATCTATCATTCATCCGTGCATCGAACATCGCAGCCACAACTGGTCTGGTACTTTTTTTTTTTTTTTCTTTTTTTTTTAGCATTTCCCCCGAAGCAAGGCAGGAATGTCACGAGCAAACAGGGAGTTATAGAGAATGAAAATGAGAGTGGGTGTAGGAGGATTGAAAAAAAGAAAAAAGGATAGGGATCAAGGCAACAGAAAATGGCGATTGACGTTGCATTTAAATTTTTGAAGATTCTAGTTATCAGGGAAGCAAGTGAGAGGAAGGGAGTTCCAATGTCGGGAAGTGGGAGGACAGTAACTGTCGGAGTAGAAGTGGCAGTTAAATTTAACTATTTCAACAGTAAAAGTGTGGGACCTAGATGCCAGTCTTGTAGCACGCTTAAATTCATATAATTGGGGTACCAGGAAAAAAAAACTCGTCAGTGCAGTTGCCATGAAAATATTTCTAGAAAAGACAGGGGGAAGCCATATCACGTGTGTGAAAAATAGTCTGAAGTCAAGAAATCAATTAAGGGCCGATTACATTGCAGATCGTTCTTTTGATTTTGTTGAGAACTTCGAGATGAACAGCAGGGGCAGAAGACCAGATATAACAACAGTATTCAATGTAAGGGCAAATGGTAGATTTGTAGATGTGTAAGATGGACTCTGTCGGGAAAAACCTTCTGGCACGACACAGTGAACCAACTTTCCTTGCAGTAGATGCAGCTGTTGATTTAATGTAGTTGGTCCCCTGCAAGTCATTTGAAAACGTGAAGCTAAGAAGGTGCAAAGAGATGGTCTCACGGACATGACCATCAATCATGTTGATGGGTGGTGGTGGGGGCGAGACATTTCTCTTTGGTCGTTAAAGAAGAAGATTTTAGTTTCGGTGGCATTAAAATTTACTAGCCATTTTCTGCCCCAGTAAACAACTGATTGGAAGTCTTTCGAAAGCAGCAGTTGACAAAATCTAATCTGTAACATTATCGGTTCTGACCTGACATCTCGGCGTCGGTCACTTTCCCCCTTCCGTAGCTTTTTTTTTTTTTCTATAAATATGTTTCACGCGTAATTGTTCTGAGCTTTCCTTTTTGCTACTTCGATTTGATGAATTTAAGTGCAGTACTAGATTAGCAGGTAGGTCACATAATTCCACTGTTGAAGTTGTTCGATGTGACTGTACGTTCTATGATAATAATTTCTTCTCTTTTACGCTTGTGGAGATCGCTTTTGGTTTCTTTATTTCCAGTCAACTTTGATTTATTTGTTTCCATTTAACATGTCGCAGCACACTCATGAAAACGAGTGGAATATGTGAAGTTAATATTTCTGCAGGATTAGAAGAACATTGAATAGATGCAACGCTGGATTAAGCATTAAAGAAAAATAAGCACGTGCTTAGGGTATCGAGAGAAGTTGGTGGGCATGACAGAAATGGTTCTGATATGATGTTGTTGTACACGTCTAAAGAAATAAGTCGAACACGAGTAACATCTGAATCTGCCATTACGAAAGGGGAAGAGCGCAGTAAAACTTTATTGCAATTCTGATTGGTTAATAAGGGAGATAACGAAGTTTGTATTTACTCAATACATCACCATTCCACTCTTGAATAAGTTAGTATTACTAATTAGCTTTATGAGATTTAATTTTTGTGATCAATCATAGGGGAAAGTTTGACGTTATTCAGGCCATATGCTTATGTGATTCTGTAATGTGTTAGTTTGTTGATTACACGGCCACCTCTGGTCATTGTTCTGTTAGAATCTGGTCGTAGCTCATTTGACTGTTCGGCTGCAATTGGTTCATTCTGGCTGGGTTTCCAGGGCGTTGGTGTCGTTCTAGATGGGAAATAAATGATAAGCATCCCTCGATGACCCCTTCCGTTCCTTCTATATTTATTTCCAGTTGACGCTTCTACGATACACGTTCTCGGCTGATAGCTATTTTCCGCACTATTTCCCGAGACTCTATACTAGTATACTTAACTCGCAGTTGGGGGGGGGGACCAAAATTCTTTAAGTGCTTATATGGGTCATACTATGGCCGTGAATAGATGAGAAGCAATATGGCATGTACTGGCAGTGGAAGAAGGGTAGAGAGTGAAGAAAGAATAAGCCGGTTGAAGGACTCTTATTTATGTTACTTTGCTCTGATAAGTGAAGGATAAAAGTGAAGAAGGGATGTAAAAGCCAACGGAATGAGAAGGTTGCTGATTGATTCACGATTGGTTAAGGCTTTTTATTCGACATCAAACCTTCACAGCACAACGTAGAAGGAGGCTCTCATTTTCTGTCTCCTTCAATCCTGTTTATTTTTATTCTGTTTTTCACTCTCCGTAATCCCTTGCATCTGAGTGGCTTTATCGCTTTGCTTTATCGCCTTGCTTTGGATGAAAGGATTAAAACAAAGTACTCTATGTGTGTGTTGAAGTAAAACAAATGTAACTGGGAAAGCGGGCATATTTGGGAACGAGTAACGAGGCATTTGTTACTCGCTCTAATTATCTACATGTATTAAACTCAATAGAATATTGAAGACCCTACCTGTATATTCTATTTCAAATCCTTTATATTCCTTGCTGTTGTCTGAATAGAACATGACAGTCACTTGGTTTGTTTTAGATGTTATGGCTTCCGGTAATTCTCTTCCGCATTTCTTAGCCAATAGCTGTTGCTGGTTTTCAGGTCCGTCTAAAATCTACAAAATGAAAAGAAAAAAAGACTGTTTTTAAAGATTTGAAGACGAATCTATTTATATTTGTTTATTGTAAATACGGTTCGATGATAATAAAAAAAACCCTCAAATCAAGAATGCAAACAGTATAACAATGTTGAAGCATTTGGGTAAAATCTTTCTATATATAAATTGACTGAATGATTTGTTTTCTACAGTTTATGAACCTTTTGCAGGTTATTTTAAAGAAAATATGTTTTAGATTTTAAGAAATTGTTTTAGAGATAATAATAGTTTAGTGATAAAAGTCTTACTAATTAATCCATAGCTAGGGGAGAAGTGGTTGATTCATACTTTTCTTAATGATATTTGCACGTATGTGAATATAACGTGAATGTGCAAAAATAAAATCTATGACACATATACACCTTTGTCAAGCTTTTGTGCGGAGTTACAAATCCTGGGTAATTAATAACTGTTGGATAAATCGAGAGCCTTATACACTTTGCTTAAGTACTTCGATAATCAACTATATCGTTTTTAGGCTATGTGCTCAATACGTAAATGTCTAATGGCCGTAAGTTACGTTTATATTGGACCGAGCTGGAACCAGGAAAAATAATTGCAGTAAGTAAAAATGCTGACGTCAAACCAATTAGTACAAACATAACTTTTGCTCCATTCGTTTGCTTACATCGTATTGGTGAAACATAATGGCACATTGCCTCTCAGATACTCACCCAGTTTGAAATGAATATGATTATAACAATATTTGCTTACATCAAGGCCCTCTTAGTAATTATTAAAAAAATTAATATGTCCAAATGCATTAATAATTAAATATTGTGAGAAGCTAAATATATTTTAACATTCTATAAACGCCGATTACATTGCGAAATATCTATTGTCCTCTGTCCATATTTATGAGATAAAGTATTGTAACTATTTACACTATTTACATTATTCGGACTGATGTCCTCATCTCTATTGCTATATTCACGACGTTTCGGCCTGCCTACCCTATATGAAGAGCTTATCGGAAAAGGTCTGTGGTCCATATAACAGTAAAACATTCAGGACACTACGTATATATCTCTTTCGAGTAAGACCATCCATAGAGGTCAGCATGATTAAGGACTGTATGTACGCCATACCGTGCAGCTGTTGCCAAAATAAAAAGGAGAAACGGGCTGTCCCCTTAAGAAAAAATTTCAGGAAGAGCGTATGGACGTAATATGATGGGAAATAGAAACTTCAGGCATGGCTGACCATATATGAAGAGAAAAGGGAGATCCCTGCCCTCTGTGGGATGAAGTTGAAATAATAGAGAATATAACTGGAAAATACGAAAACCTAAGGAATCAGCAGATATGTTAGGCTACAAAAATCTCCTAAACCGGCCAAACATATACATGAATGCAATATGGGAACTAGTAAAACAGAGAGCTCGAGAAAAACAACAATAACAAAAAATGTGATATGAGCCCTGGTAAAAAATGTTGTCAGTCACAAACGTTCACTGACCAATGTCCCCACTGGATAAAAGCGGTTGATCCACAAGTAACTTAACGCTAAGTATTCAATACATTATCACAGCAGAGGGAGCAAAACTTGGAGAGTTGATTTATCAAGAAGAATTCTGAAATTGAGATCCCCAAAGACATAACACGTGGGGTTAGAACAATCTACCGTGGACACTTTATTTAAAGTGTTCGGTTCGAATTTCCAACAAATGTCACCTTAAGAAGGCCGGATCGTACAACGGCCGAAACGTCGTGAATATGGCAATAAAGATGAGGACAATGGTCCGAATAATGTAAATAGTGCGAATATATATCTTCGTACTAAATTTTGATTCGGGGTTCGAAATGAAGCTGTTTTGAATACTTGCACGAGTATCCAAACAGGTTCATTTTCGACGTTGAAAAATATTGGGAAATCATCAGTGACTCAATCTCTGAAGAAATTTAATCACATATTTAAAAGAAAGGTGTGCACGAAGACTGATTGTACAAATCTGTTGAACTATTTGTTTGTTTTTTTTTTTAAATTGGCTTGAGAAATCCTAGCTCTTTAAATAGCTTCGAACATTGAACTTTGTCGTTTGTAGTAAACACGGATTTGTATACTCCAAGAAGCGGAACTCTTGATAATATTCTATTTCGGAGACATTTTGGAGAATACAGGCTTACCTTAAAAATCAATTTTCGAAGCCATTTTTTAAACATCAGATAACGGTGTGCAGAAGGTCTGCTCGCTTAGAAAAATCGACTAGAAAAATTGTGGATTGTTCTTTTTTATCTCACCTTGAACCACAATGTATGGTATCACTGGATTACTTGCAAGAAAATCTCGGTGCAAACCAGGATCATTTAAAGTATTTATCGTAAGAATCCTGTATCATAGCCTAATCCAAAAACTCAAAAGACATCCCTAAATTCTCATGGTGATTGGTTACACTTTCAGAGAAGATCTTTCTGGGCGTATTTTGGGACTCAAGTTTACGTCTGACCTCAAAAGGGACTCAATGTTAAAGACGATGTAAAATAGTTGGTAACTTATATCGCACCAAAAATTGTTTCACTCCACTTGTCATGCTGTATCTGTACAAGAACCAGTCCACACCAAAAATGGAGTATTTCTGCTACATATCTTTCCAGCCTTGACATAGTTAAGACTATCGCGATTTCCATGGAAAATATTCTGACGAACTACATTCCTTAGTTCCACCAGTTCAGACCATTACATCTACTATCTGCAATGCCACGTACAAAAGGTCGAATTACTCTTCTTCCTTTCGTATTCTACTGGTAAGAAGGAGATTTAATTCGGAAAGCTTCTTGCCGCCAATCTATGAAATATACTCCCGAGAAGGTGCTTCCTAGAATATTATAATCTTCATCTCTACAATTCTAGATCGTCCGTTACTTATTGTACGTACCCACATAATCTTCACTGACTTGCCCTTCCCATCTTACGTCCAAATAGTAGGTTCATTTATTAACCATTTTCCCATCAAACCGGAATCATCCCAAAGACCTGGTAAACAGAAGCCACCGACCGACTGTCCATCCTGGTGAAGAGCAATTCATTTTGCTTGTTCCACTTTTGTGGAGAAGAGAAAAACTGGACAAGAAGTAAAAAGAGGGCAACGCATGGACCAACAGCTTTAGGCAAAACCATCAACCGCCCTACCATGCGATCAATGGACGAGAATATTACATTCCCGACTTGGCCTCCTCAGTCATGTCGGGATCAAGTATCGTGAAGGCACCAGATGGACCAAACTCGGACACGAATGGTGCCGACTAAGACGATGTTGAGCGGTCGTTCGGCATTGTACTGGATGAATTTTAAAAGAAAAATAAACACATTTTAAATAGTCAAATTAGTTTTGTAATAATAGCGGCTGTCAGGGATATTTTTTCTGATAGAGAACAGATATTTTTATTGGATTTATTCCTATAAAATTGTTCTACACAAGGATGCTGGAAACGCCATTGTTTCTATTCTGTTCAGAATACAAACGCACAAAGGATGTAAGTCAATATTCTTTAACAGAAACTGGGGAATCGACAATTTTTTTTTTCATTTTCTGAGACGAGGTTTTGTTTCTGTTCTACATTTGGATCAAGTGACTCGTCTTTGCTGTCTTTATTACAACTTTTCCCGCTTTATTCTCCGACGTTCTGTCTGCGTGAATTTCTGAGAACGGCCATTGATACATTTTACGTGGATCAGTAGACTAATCGGTTTACCTCGTATTTTTCTCTTTTATTTTATGTTTAATATTCATCGTATTTTATGATAAATAAAAGAGACAATGTATATTTATGAAGAAAACAAGTGCAACTGATTGCATCAATTATTATTAATAATCCTCCAAATAAGACAGTGAACGCTGACAGTTTCCTCACAGATCTGTTGGAATTGGCGACGCCTGGGTACGAATAGAAAACGAATAAAGTATGAACAGAAAAATACAAAGAGGCGCCTTCTAACTGGATTTATTCAACATTTGCCGCGAAGTGACATTAAGAGAACTAGACTCCCTGGCAGTATTTATTAACGGTGCGTATAATCTTAACGGTATAATATGTGCAGATGACACCGTGTTAATGGCTTACACAGAAATAAAAACAACAGCTACTCATAGCCAAAATATTACAGAAAAGCGAGAAGAAAGGACTAAACGTCAAATGTAAGAAAACAAAATATATGGTTGTTAGCAAGAAGAAACCAAAATTTGAGCTACGAATTTGAAATGTTAAAATCAACAAAGCGCAGAAATTTAGTTTTGTTGATTCATTTTCTAAGGATTATCAAAACTTATTTGCAGATTATTTAAAACCAGAAAATTTTTTTTTATGTTGTATGTATTTATTTTTTTGGGGTTATAATAATGGTTTAGTGATATTAGATTTGCTTATTAACCTATAGCTGGGAGCAATAAGATGTTGATTCCTACTTTTTCGAAGGGTATTTGTGCGTATAACAAACCTAACGGGAATTAGAACTCGGCTCTCTGAATAAAAATTCCAAGCGATTATACATATATTATATTATACACCACGCACATATCCAAGCTTACAGAACCTGGTATTTCTACGCGGTGATCCATCTATTTACTGACCAGGTTTGACGTTCGGTGAGCGTACGGGAAGCGATGTTTCACCGTAATGTGTCTGTAAGCTGGGAAATGTTTAAACAGGTGAAGGAAAATGTGACACAGAAATCCGAAGATGCATTAAAGTAGAGAAAAATGACTTCCAAAAGCTAAGCAAAGTATTAAGAAACAGGAAAGATTCGTTAGAAACAAAGAACAGGCAACTGAACTGCTATGCAATATCAGTCATCTAATAAGAAGTGAATGTTAATCAATTTCTTTACAGTTGAAGACATGAGGCAGATGTCTGGTTCTGCAAGTTTGTTTAACGCCGAAATCTAATTATATTTTGTACACAATTTTATTTTATCTTTAGAGATAATAATGGTTTAGTGATACAAGTCTTACTTATTAACCCATAGGTGAGAGGAGAAGAGGTGGTTTCATACCTTTTTCCAAATGTATTTTCGCGTAAGTGAATATAACGTACCCAATTCGAATTCGGCTCTCTGATTAACAATTCCGAGCCATTATCCGTTACATAAATCCGACATCCAACCTTACAGCACCTGTTATTTCCAAGCGGTTACCTATCTAGGTACTGACCAGGCTCGACGTTGCTTAACTTCGGTGATCGTACGGGAACCGGTATTTCAACGGGATGTGGCCGTAATCCTTGTACTTGCAAGGGGTTACTGAGAGTAATATGGACACAACATTTAAGTGACGGTTATTTTTTTTTAAGGAGATCGAAACAAAAAAAGGACACTTTCACTTAGAATCAGAAAGCGACTGTTGAAACTTCTTGGACACATAATGAGGAAAGAAGGCTCGGAGAAATTGACACACACAAAGGATATTTTGAAGACGAGAAGAGCAGATTGGAACAGTGAATAACATACCTAACGAGTTTGTGACTTGGAGGGATAGTAAGAGGAAAAACATTGTTCTGGGCTTCAAATGTTAGGAAGTTGTGGAGCGCTATATTCGCTTGCTTCCTGAAGAAGACGTATTGTAAAAAAACATAACTTCTGAAAACTAAACCAAGTATAAAAAAGAAGTAGAAATTTTGTTAAAAAGAAAGAAGAGAGTGATGAATCGTTATGTAATATCAGTGTTCCTATATGTTAACGAGTACTGGATAATTTCCTCACAGATGTAGAAAAGACTTGAAGCAACAGAGAATCAGCTGTTCTACAGAAGGATGCTGAGAATATCATAGAAAGGGCATGTGAGTAATGATGAAGTTTTAAGAAAAAAGGATGGAAAAGAAACTTTTGTACTTAGAATCAGAAAGTGTCAGTTGAAATTTCTAGGGCGCATAATGAGGATAGTAGGCTTGGAGAATCTGACACTCACATGACATACGAATCCTATAGAGAAAAACTTTACGAGGCAGCAGCAAAAGAAAGAAACAGCAAGGAAGATGTCCAGTTTTCTAGTAATCTGACCCTCACTAGCTATGATTTGTAAATGTTTATGGAGCCTGTTGTAGTGCAACGCTTGATGTTCCATTTATTTAACAGCCTAAATTAATCTGTGTAAATCACTGAAGCATGAATCAAAAACTCAGTACACACACACAGATGCATACATACACTCACACACATATGCATACACAGATACACACCCACACACCGATGTAGAGGTATAGATGGAAAGCATGAACATTTAGATATAAACAGACTGAGATAGATAGATAGATAGAGAGAGAGAGAGAGAGAGAGAGAGAGAGTAAAAGACTGAGATAGATATATAGATATTTAGATATAAACAGCTAAATAGATAGATTGATAATATAAACAGCTAGATAGATAGATTGATAATATAAACAGACAGACAGATAGATAGTTTTGTGACATACGGTGGCCGTTAATAACTAAGTATAACTCAAGATTTCAATGTTAAAAACTTTGTTATTTAATTACAACCGGAATTAAATACTTAACTAGAACAAAGGAGTAAAAAGTCAATCAAAGATAATTAACCATTTCAGTGAATACCTTGTTAGTAACACGGCTTAACGTCCGGTAAATCCTAAATCAAAACCCAAATTATCGATGCACAATAATTCACACTAATTCAACTGGATTGTTACACTCAATAATTACTCCAGTCAGTAGCCTGACACCGCTATTTATACACCTGGCGGAAAACATATATTTATAAGTCCAGAGTGTCACGTTCGAACCTCGGTTTCGGTAGTTACTCATTTTCTTCTTATATGACATATAGATATGAACAGATTGAGATAGATAGATAGATAGATAGATAGATAGATAGATAGATAGATAGATAATGAATAGTATGTAGATAAATAGACAAACTAATTCGGTATTAAATAACCGGAAAAAGATTTGATATGCCGCAAACCAAACCAAACATAAACACTTCATGGTGACCGTTTACAACGCCGCGACAGAAGAAAATATTAACGTGAAAACCTGTCATGTTTTGGCTGATACAATAAATCTGACCCTAACGGAAAAGTTTTGTTGATACAGTTTTCTTTATCGGGCGTTGTTTTCATCGCTGTTTGTTTACGAGCACTTCTTCACGTATTAATTATTTTTTTTTTTTTTGTCGACAAGAGCACGGTAGTTATCAGCCACCTAAAGCAGACAGAATCGATTCGAAACATGACCATCAATCACAGCGAATAGCCCCAGCACGCAATCTCCAACGTAATTCCTATTTTTTTTATCATGTTAATTTTAAAGACTGTTCTTGTTTTCGTCCGCCATTAGGAAAAGTCCCGCGCAGCCGCATTTGATCGCATATACGAAATGATTGTTTGTGGGAGGAACAGGAAATCTCACCATTGCGTGACAAAGATAAGGAGGAAAATTGCAAAAAAAATAAAGACTTTCTAAAAAAGAACAGCAGCAAATATCCATGTGTCCAAAGTAACGTTATTCTAAAAGGAAGAGAGGGAACAGGTTTTATATGAAAGCGAGACTGTCTGTCGTTCCGGATATTAAATCAATTAACAAATTAAAACAAACAAATGTAACTGATCGTGTTAAGATTATGGTAAATGCCTGAAATCTCAAAACTGCACCTACCGCAGTGCGATGGTTAGCAAACACGTCCCGCGGCCAATTTCATTATTTTCGGACGCTAAACCACAATGAGAGATGCGGTAATGTAGACTTGTGCTAGAATAAGCTTAGCAAATAATAAAATCTTCAGTTGGCGGACCTAGTAGAAATAATCGCATGTTTGAACCGTGTAAAAGTCGAAGTACAACCAGTTCAGAGATTTACAGCTAGGACAGGCAGTGCCACGTACACTGGATCGAATCATCCTCATTCCCTTTGTATTGCTTTGGTAAGAAGAAAGTTCCCCTCAAACAGCTTTCTTCCCGAGAACCGCCAATTTGTAGGACAGAGACCCGAGAAGATGCTTCCTCAATTACTAAAATCTTAATCTCGTCAAGTCTCTGGTCAACAGTTATCTATCCTACATATCCTCATAATCCGTACTTAATTACTCCTTTTACGTACATAAAACAACTTAATTCAGTAACTTCTACCTTGAGTGACCCTTGCGCATATTTTGAGTGAACATTTATTTTTAAAAAAGAGCATAGCTTTCGCCGTTGGAAGATTGCCGTAACACAATCACTGTATCCACCAGATTGTCTCAACGTAAAGCGATGGTTATCAGGTTAGACTGGAAGTGTACAACAGTAGTGAATTCGATCCTCACTAGATGTACTACGAGTGTAGATTTCTGCCTTACTAGGCAATAATTTGTAAATAAGTAGGGCACCTGCTCTAGTGTAGCGGTTAATGATTCACCAATGTGTCCTTGATTAAGATAATCTTCATAAATAAACATAAGATACGAATCCCAGCACACACACACACATACACACACACACACAGAGAGAGAGAGAGAGAGAGAGAGAGAGAGAGAGAGAGAGTTTTGAACAGGAGTAGAGGTTTATCCTTTGTTTTCTAACTATGATTGGGTTTCCTTCTAAAGACTGCTTCACAGCTGTAGACCTAATGTCTGCGCCTGGACTCTGAAATTTTATTCACGAACTATTTATGTCATTTTATATTTTTCTCGCGAATAAGAGTAGAAAGGTTTGCATATCGTCCAGTTCACACTCCTCCCCGGTCTTATGAACATGAGTAGAAGTTTATCACATGTTTTCCTGTTTAGGATCGGGTTTCCGGTTCTTTCTAAAGATCTACTTCAGCTTTATAGTCCTAACGCTTGTTCTTTCCTGCGCTAATATAAGCCCAAACAGTAACTTTCAAACTTGAGTGGCTCTTCGGCCTTTTATTGGGTGAATATTAGTAAAAAACGGAGTAGAGGTTCATTATTTATTTCCTGTTCAAGACTGGGTTTTCGGTGCCTTCTAAAGTATTTCACCTCCAGTAGCGCCTTGTGTCTTAGTGAAATTAACGCCTTGTTTGGGTTGAATTGATTGAAAAAATAAAACGATAGATAGATAGATTTAGATAAAGAGACATGAACAATCTGAGATATATATAGATATAAACAGATTAAGTCATATAAATAAATCGATAGATAGGAATATATATATATATATATATATATATATATATATATATATATATATATATATATATATATATATATAGCGCAATGGGTAAATTGTCGCAATTTTATATTTTTAATTTCCGCATGCTCGTTGCTTACTTTTGATTTTGTCGACTGCACAGTATAGTAGGGTCAGTTGGGCACCGTCTGTGAGAAAAAGATCACCATGACGCAATTCACTCCGACAGAAATTTGGAAAGGACATGCTGTACTACATTGCGTTCGCACCGGAAGAACCAATACAAACATTTCAAAGTGTTTCGGTGTCAATCCTAGGACGGTGTAGAGAATTCGGAAAGAGTTGGGTGAGTCTAATGGTCATTACAAAGGTACGGAAGCTCGGAAAACTCACTCGGATGGTTCAGAAAGAACTCCCACTTAAGAAAAGAACTAGTAAATTTGTTGGGAAGGGCCTCAGACTCAACACAGAGTCTGACATCAAGTGCCTTAATGAGGATGGCTGCTGGAGAACCCTATGTCTGGCCACGGGGATCTGCACCATGCCACACAAGCAGAAGAACCCAGTCATAGCTGTCAGACAATTTCTGCGGCCACATCACCCCTTACATCTGACCACCTAACTACCCAGATTGCAACCTCCTTGATTATTTTGTGTGAGGCGCAGTTGAGTGAGAGACAGCAAAACACATTGTAACACCAAAGATGAACTGATGGAATGTATTATGGCAGAATTCACCAACTTAAACAAGGAGACCGCCAAGAAGATTTGAAGTCGTCTGGAGGCCGTGGTTTAGGCTAATGGCGATTTTATTGAACAAATTTACTCTTTAGTATTTCAAGATATTTTTGTATAATTTTGGTAACTATGTCTGTTACAATGACATGGCAATGTTGTTTTCATTTTTGCGTAATTTAGACGAAAATTTATCCATCACACACACACACACACACACACACACACACACACACACACACACACACACACACACACACACACACACACACACACACACACACACACACACATATATATATATATCATAAAGAATTAACGAGCAATGTTAATGTAATTAATGGCGAAATCGCTTCACTAACAATATTCAATAAATCATTAACTCATTATGTTTAGATAGTTGTCAAATAGATTTGATATTGCTAGGCTGAATATTTTCGAAAATTTCACATTTTCATCCTCAGGGCGTAATTTTTCCATTCCAGGTAAACACCGAGAAGAAATAGATGGAGTGTAAAACGAAAGATGTTTTTTTAAAATATGTTATTTATTAGCAGTTATATAATTGGTACGGTGCCGTAACGCTAGATTTATTATTTAAATATTTCAAGTGAAAATATTTATTTGAATTGTTTTTTTTTAAGAGTTTCACCCCAAGCAAGGCGGGAAGCCACTAGCACGCAAGGGGTTACAGAGAGATGGAGCGAGAGTAAAGAGGAGTGATAGAGGAAAGGATGAAGAGAAGGATAGGGGATAGATCAAGGCATCTGGAGACGTCGATTGACATTACATTTGAATAATTGGAGATTACACCTATCAGGGAAGCAGGAAAAGGAGAGGGAGTTCCACAGGCAAGAAGTGTGAGACATGAAGCTATTGGAGTAGAAGAGACGGCTACATTTAACAGTTTCAACAGTGAAAGGGTGAGAGCGTGATGCCAGCTTAGTTGAACGCTTAAATTTATGAAGTCTGGGAACCAGCGAAAGCAGCTCGTCGGAGTAGTTACCTTGAAAGTATTTGTAAATAAGACAGAGGGAGGCGACGGCACATCTGTGAGAGAGCGACTGCAGACGAGATGCCAGATCAGGGCCAATTACGTTGCATATCCGTCTCTGGATTTTATCAAGGACCTTGAGACAAACAGAAGGGGCTCCAGACCATATATGGCAGCAATACTCCATGCAAAGGTGAATGGTTGATTTGTAGATATGAATTTAGTTTATTAGTAACTTGATGCCTCATTGAATTTTCTTAACGAAGAGATTTTGCCATTAATTTCATTAACATTGCTAATTAATTCTTTGTATAATTACCTCTTTATGATATATGTACTGCATAATACACACACACACACACACACACACACACACACACACACACACACACATATATATATATATTATAATGTTTTTTATTATAAGAGATTATAATCTCTCTTAATAAAAATATTATAATAATATTTTGCTCTACTTTACTTCTACAGACTATGTATTTATACTCTATTTGTTCTTTCCCTTTATATATATATATATATATATATATATATATATATATATATATATATAAGTATATATAACTTTAAATACTTCTATAGATACAACATCTAATACTTTCCCCTAGCAAATAGCTAAAAATATCTCTACTACATGTCATTTATACGAAGATGAAGTATTTGTTAATTTAATGTTTACGCTGTTTCCATAGATCACCAGTACTTGTATTGGATTATGATCCCATTTAAATTTCTAATGTAATGTACATAATAAGGAAAGGGGACTTCGAAAATCGAATACTCACAAGCTAGATTGAAGACCAGAAGGAAGTAGGAAAACAACGCATACCGTACCCAGAGAGCTTGAGTAAAATGATGGTGGAGCAAGGTTTAGGGGGTTAAAAAACGACAAAAAATTATTAAGAGCTACAATAGACAGTGAATATTAAAGCGTCATAGTTGTCAACATCTTTATGATATATATATATATATATATATATATATATATATATATATATACACGCCACTCTCGTAGGTTGAGCACTTTCGAAGAAAGGGAATTCGTCGGCTGATTCTAATTTACTCTAAAAGCTCTTCGCTATGAATTGAGCAATCTGGTAGCTGAGAATGCCTGAAAATTCCCTTTTTTTATTGCGTGCGCCGATAGCCTATGGTGACTGACTCAGACTGATGTCATATCGGTTGCGTTTCGATCCCGGCTTGAAGCAATCTCATGTCTGGCTGTGGTATAGCTGTGGATGGCTATATGTATATGTCTCGAAACACTGAGGACTGTGAAACAGCGAAACAGTACTGTCTTCGAATGACATATATATATATATATATATATATATATATATATATGTGTCATATATATGTGTCATATATGTGTCATATATATGTCATATATATATATATATATATATATATATATATATATATATATATATATATGATAAAATATAGTTTCAATGTATGCTATATTTATAGCATAAAATGCTCAATGTCGGGGTAGTTCGTATGTAAATATAAAGAGGATTTGATGTCAACATCCAGCGTTGACAGCCTGTTTCATTCTTAAACGCAATCGTCAGGCCGGAGGTGATGACTTCTGTGTCCACTTTTACACACACACACACACACACACACACACACACACACACACACACACACACACATATATATATATATATATATATATATATATATATATATATATATATATATATGGCAATGAATCAAGAAATTCGTAGCCAGAAACAGTTGAATTTTTCCTCTTGAATGTTCACTGTATAATGTTTGAATTATATATTAGAGTGACATAAAGTACATCGTTAAAGATCGTGATTAAGTTTAAATAGTAAATATTTTCATGTGTAAAAGAAATTTATTTCATCTTTAGGCCTGATGCTTTCATTAAAACTCCCAAGTATGGGTTATGCATTATCAAAGATTGGGAACCTTGTCGATTTCAGTTTAATAAATCAGTTTGAAAATAATACCCAGTGATTTATTGTACAACGATGACGAACGGAAATGTGTCTCAAATCGTTTGTATCGAACAAAGGACAAGGGTTCGTTATTTTAATTCGTCTCTACCGAAGAAGGAACAATGTTTCCATTATTTGAAACTTCTGAGTCGTAAAAAGAACAAGGCTTCCGTGTTTCAAACTGTCCGAGTCAAACAAGAAACGAGCCTTCCTTATTCAAATCCTTTCCATCGAACAAGAGACAAGCTTTCTTCATTTCAAATCGTTTAAAGCTTCTATTAATGTGGCTATTAGTGTAGCAACCTACATATACCTGATAAGCTGGCTTGTCGGGAAACAAGGATAAACGAATGATCTACAAATCCCTCAACAATTAGAGAGAATTTTGCCTTAATGTGGCTCAATATGAAACCTGTCATGTATTGTCGCCTTTAGTGAAGCCATGATGCTAATGAATATATTACCCTAATTTGTTTGTAATTTTCCTAACAGAGCAAAATTCCTACCCAGTAATGTCTATTTTTATACCACTTCTGATGCAAATTGTTACCTTTACTTATCTGATGATGAAAAATCTCATCTCGGTCTCTTAACGGGCGATATTTGCTAATTTATTGAATCTTATTATTTCTTCATCATTTGATTTCTGTTGTATACACATTTTCTTCTGGGCCCCAGCCACAGACCTGATGTCTGAAATGGCTTCATAACATTTTCCACTGGTCATTTTAGTTAAGAAAATAAAAAAAATAATAAAACAACTAACATCACTCGCATTTTACATAGATCAAGATCTTCATAATATGTGAGCTGTACTTGTAAGTACAATTTTTTTGTATTTCTTTAAGGCATGGGCTACCTCGAATCACAACAAGGAGTCTATTGGGCGATTTTCTAATCAATCTGAGGGCTCCAACTATTATTACCATTATTGATGTCCTCATGTGCTACACATTTGTCCATTTCCATTTCAAGATCCTTGTATTTTGATAGTTTTTTTTTGTTTTTTGTTTTTTGTTTTAAGATATTCAAAGCTACATTACAATCTGCCGGGAATTTCATATCAATAATAAATCACATTCTGTTTTATTATTATTATTATTATTATTATTATTATTATTATTGTTTTTGTTGTTGTTATTGTTGTTTTTGTTTTTGTTGTTGGGGTTGTTGCTATTGTTGTTAGCGAAATATCCATGTGACGGACAGAGAAAAAACTTATATTTTCTATTGCCTCTATAAAATTTCTATACAAACAACATTTTCAGCAATGCATTCATATTCTAAAGGTTTTTTTTGTTATTGTGTTAAGTCCAGTTGAATATCTTTGTCTGGAAATAGTTACATAGAGCTGAAAATTAGAGAACATCTGAATAAATTTCCAATGTTTACAACAATAATAATAATAATAATAATAATAATAATAATAATAATAATAATAATAATAATAAGGCAAACTTACAATATTTAAAAAATAATTCGGTGCGGTTTTAAGAAAATTCAAATCAAATTAGTTGCACGGTGGAGTCATGGATAGCGGCACGGATTGAGAAATCGGAGAGCCGAGTTCGAATTCCAATCGAGTTTCTTACATCCACTTATCTGCAAATACCCTTGGGAAAGCTATGAGTCCATTTCCACATTCTTCTTTCTATGGGTGAATAGCAGGCCGGACAACTGTGAATTCAAACCAGCCTTAAGATGTTTGGGCTCTGTCATGCTGTCTTGTCCAGGAAACACCACTGCTGCTCTGACTACATTAGGTGTGGTGCCCCTACGAGTGTAAGGGGTTACCGGAGTCGTGATGACTTATTTAGATAATTATGTAAAATGTTATTCGGCAACGCTCGAAGCAATGGGTAATGTCAGACGACGACAATGGTTATTAAACAGTACAGGAAATAAGATAGTAACTAACGTTGCTGAGCCTAAAATTACAGAACTATATAAAGATTTAAATATTTTTTTAAAATTATTTACCGTATGTCCGGTCTTTAAGGAAAAGTTATTTTTAGAAGCAACGATTACATTTATTTTTATTTTGAATGTAAGCCCAAATATTTTTCTGCTAATTTACTGCCGACAAGCAAGATACAAATTCTTTCTATAGAAACACGATGAATTAAAAAAACAGTTAGCGACAAAAGCATTGCTTATATATGGCAATTTAAAAAAAATTAGAATGAAAAATAAAACAGATGAAATATTTATCAAAATCAATCACGACTGAAATGTGAGTTCGATCCACACTGTGTGTTCCATACTTTCGGGCTTGTGCCACAATTAAGGTACGCTCACGTGAATTTCGGAAAAGATTGTTTTTGCTATTCTTTTGCATCACTTACCTCAATATAATCCCAGCATTTGTTGGCACCAGCTGACTGCGGTGATTCCAATTCAAAGAAATTGAAATTGAGCCGTACTCGACTTCCAGCGCTCACCCGGATCTGCCATTCGCACTGTTCACTGCTCAGGTAATTTCCGCGAGTGAAATTTGGCGATCGGATGAAACCCGTCCAATTGGTAAAAATTTGCAAATGTGTCGGGGAGCTACAAGTGCTACAGTAAACACCATCTGAAACAATAGAGATATGTTACATTTCATTTTAGTCTCAAATCGCCATACAAGATATATGCTTATAAAACACGTAAATTTCAGAAATAAGTTATTCCCCAAAAAAATTTCGCTTGAAGATGGAATAGAGCTTACTTTAATTCAATTTAATTCAAATAATTATATTGAAGATTTCGGCTCTTGTTTTGAAATATGAGAACTCTTATGTAGCGTGTTGGAATCATATTTTAAAATAAATAATTACATATATATATATATATATATATATATATATATATATATAAACATTTAAGGAGAGGATTACATAAAATTAATAGTGGAAAATTGAATAGTGTAAAAAATTTTGCTTGTAACCACCTGAAGTTATCCAACTGAATACAAGATTTTGCTTTGTTTAACTCCTTATGGGTTATTTAACGCAAAAAATTAATTTTCTTGCTTTGAAGTAATATAAATATGGCATGTTATTATGCTTCCACAATGAATACATGGTAGATAATACTCAGCTTTTGTGCATGTTTTTGTGGACATAAATTATTCGGAAGCAGTGACATGATGTTTTATGTTGTAGTTTTGTTGAAGTTATATTTGAAATACAGTTTGATTTCTTTAAGAAATTGTAGGATATTATATGGATTAGTGTCATGAAAGAGTTCTTTCATATTGGTTGCTTGGCTGATTGGGTTTAGCGGGATATCAACCTCTTTGGATTACTTCATGACGAAATGTATGTATTTTGAACACAATTTTCTGGATTCAATTAAATATATTTTGAAAGCAATTGTATGCCTTCAATAAAGATAAAATGTATTGTTAGTCGTTTTGTATAGTTAGTCATTTTACTATAAATATGTATTGCATTTTTACCATAATACTTATATTTATTATTTCATGGTGTTTTGTTTTTGTTTGGTGGGGTTTTTTGTTTTGTCTAGGTGGATTTGTGTTAGAGTGGAACACACCTATTCTATAGTTAATAGACTCTCCCACCTATAATAAGTAGGAGTAGTAAGAATAGCAGTCGCTCGGTGGAGTTGGACAGTCAGTCGATTGCGGACGACCGTTAGTCGGATACTAAAGTATCAGCGACCACAAATAGATTTCTCTGCGTCGTTACCTATTATATCAAGTTGCTAACGTTTTGTACGTCGAACCTATTTTAGGACCGACTCTACAACAATTTGGGAACAACAGAAATTAAGAGGTGCTTCCACACTCCTCAAAAAGTTCAATCTCAGAGGCCTTGCTGCAGGATGTAGTTTATCGTTATACCCAGGACTCCAAATGAATAAAAAAAATTAACAGATTTTATAACTGAGGAAATTGATTTCATTTTTTATTTTGAAAATTTTATAAACTTCTTTGGAATATTTATATCTGAATTTCTGGGACGTGGTACATTATTTACACTATTTATTTTCTGAATGTTGTTCTCAACGTTTCGGCCTTCTTCAGGTGTATATCGATCTGGGTAACCTACAGGGAATTTTGATCTGAACACTTTATTTAATCTACGGGTGTAGATTCTTTCCAGAGATATCTGTCTAAGGATATTATTTTTAGTACCGCTTAGTTATTGCACGCCCCTTTTCCACTGAGTTCATGAACAGACTGTCCGTCCCAGGGATTATATTACCAATCACTTCTTTTTATGAGCCGTACCCTTTCAAGACGTAAGCGATCATTGCTCTCCACTTCCCCCTATCTCTTGTAGCTCTCAATAAGTTTCTTTCGTCTGCCACCTCCACCAGACCACGTTCTGTCATCCAGCTTAAGCCCGACAGGTATGTCATGCGTTGCTTTCTCATTGTCTCTCTTTCCCTCTATTCAACCTTTTGAGTATCAGATTCTCCAGGTCATCCTTTCTCATTACATGTCCCAGATATTTCAGCTGCCTCTTCCTGATGTTAAGTATAAGCCACCTCCTTGTTTGCATCTTCTCCAAAACCTCATCGTTGCTCACAGACTCCGTCCATGATTTCCTTAGCATCCTTCTGTAGAACTATATCTCCGTTGCCTCGAGTCTCTTTTGAGGAGACTGTCCAACATTATCTACCGTAAAGGAGGACAGATGTCACGTAGCAGTTCAGTACTCTTTTCTTTGTTACCCACGAAATTCTCCTGTCTCGTAATACTCTGCCCAGCTTTTGGAATGCGTCTTTGGCCATCCCAATCCGTCTTCGTATCTCACTGTCGCACTTATCGTCATCCGTCAAAACACCTCCCAGATATTTAAACTTCCACATCCGCTTGATTGTAATGTTCCCGACCTGTAAATCGCATTTCGGGTTCATTCTTTGACTGGTAACCATGTATTCTGTCTTCTATGTTACCAAATTCATGCTTTAATCCACCAAGCCATTGTCCCTTAGGACAATTTGCTATAGTAAACCATAAAGTTGAGCTTCAAACCTAACTTGCTTGTTGATTACATGTCATCAATGCTCCTGCTGCTGCCCGTAATGTTTTGATTGCTGCTGCTGCTTTTTCTGTTGAAGACACTCTCTCATTGATTGTTAACAGCTTCCAAATTGTATTTATTTCTACACTAGACCTACTAAAAAGGTGCTCATAGCCGAGCATATGTGCTAATTCTTTCAGATGTCTAACTCTCCATTGTTCTTTCTTGTTCAGTATTTTCACTTCATTCCACAGGGGCTGACGACTTTGGATTACTTTATTATTTCCTGGAACACATTTGTAAGTTTTACACCTGCTGACTTTTTTCAGATACTCTTTGTAAGACTTAATCTATTCAGTGAAAATTTTAGAAGCCAATAAGAAACTACAACACCCGTTAGTAACAAGTCATTCTCGTAACGAATGCAATAGGCGAATACTTGCTTTTTTTTAAGACTTAAACTAATGAAGTTATTCTAAATGCACGAAACTTAGATTTAACATTACTTTTTATTCAACTCTGTATTTCGTCGATTTGTGTCAGCCACTATATAAGTGTAACCTGTGATTATAATCACAAACGTCGATCTTACATTCTCGCCGATGTCTGGAGATATCTGTGATACTGTTGTGCTGTTCAAGTGGCGGTCAGAAGATCATGAGTCTGGTCAGCCCTGCAACTGGCTTCTTTGAAGAACATTTAGTTCAAAGCCTCATGGTCTGGGGTGAGAGAGACCCTACACACCTACTCTTCAATTTCTGCCTTGGTTATTAAATGTAGGTGACCTAACTGTGAACTGCGTCTTAGACATTATCTAATCAATGGGTTTCAGTATTTTAACACCGCATCAGCTGTGTACACATACAGTTTTAAGATTGTTTTTTTTTTCATTTCATCATTTAGAAAAAATAAATTGTATTTTTATTCCATCATTTAGAAAAATAAATACATGTTTATGTTCAGAATCCGGATTTACAGTGTATTGCTAGGATCATGGAGTATGGTTGGAGTAATGATTCTTTTTTTCATCAATTCACCGCACGCAAGGCGATAATGCCACTAAAACGCAAGAGGCTACTGGGTGTGAAAGAGAATGAGTAGACTTTACAAGGAACCGGAAACACAGTCCTTACGTGAGAAATGGATTTATTGAGTTGAGTTCAAATTGTGTGATAGAATAAAATGTCGGAATATAACTTACGGTTATATGTAGCAATTTCAACAGTAAAACGATGATACTTATCCACCAATCTAGTACTATATATATATATATATATATATATATATATATATATATATATATATATATATATATATATATAGGTTTCGTTAAATAATTTAGATATGTCCTGTCAATTTATTCTCAATAGGATCCTTTCACATTCGCGGATGAAGATTTTTGTGCGGTTATTAAAAGACCAGAGGAAAACACCGTGTTGGCTCATATTGTATTTATTTCCGAGTACTTTCGACATAGCATAATGTCATCATTAGAGTATCGTTAATTATTGTTTAAATATTTAGTGTTCATGGTTGTGAAGAACAAAAATTGTTGCGGTGATCCGAAAATTACCATTTTTATATGCGGATTCAGGAACGCTGTGTCATGGCTTGGGGGACGTACACCGTTTAAAGGGAGGTAACTATGTATGCTGTGGAAAAATATTGGATTTAAGTTGTTGCTAGATAAAGTAAAAAATATTAATGACAAGCGCTATCATTTAAAGACTATGTATTGTATACATTTTAAAATATTTTTGGAGCATTCGTAATTAATTTTATTGAGGTTTGTTTTCAATGTTTTGATATAAATAGCTTCGGGAATTTTTTGTTTGTGTTTATTCTTTTCGTGGAAAACTATGGAGGTATTTTCGACGAGGATTTTTCTGATTGCGAGTGTGCACTTATTGTGGTAAATCTCTATCTATAAAAGGAAGGAGGTGTGTGTGTGTGTGTTTGTGTGTGTGTGTGTGTGTGTGTGTGTGTGTGTGTGTGTGTGTGTGTGTGTAACGAATGCACGGCTGCAATTTTCGACGGATTAGCACCAAAATTTACATGCACATGCTCCAAGTTTGTGAGAAGGCCAAGACCGACTTTGCATATCCCAACTTCCATCGATAGTGGAAATAATCGATTTTTCAGGCTTCTACGGCAGTTTTCATGTAGTTTGCGGCCATTTTCTACTGGCCAGAATGAGAGCCTATAGCTGGCTGCCACGAATAGGCAGGAAGATTCTATTGGCCAGCGTGAGAGCCAACAGCTGACTGACACGAATGTTAACTAGCATGTTAACACGAATGTCAACTAAAAAAATCGATGGCTGCATTCGTCACAAGTGGGAAAAATTTTAATCTGCATGGCACTTTACTCCAATTGGCTCATTCGCTTGCTTAAACTCAACGTTGATTCTGATTCCGCAGAACTTGGTTGGGTGTGAAAAAGCATTTGTTGTTAACATTCTTTTTTCATTCGGTTTTTCCAGTTACGAGTCCTCTTTTAAAGCTGATCGTTTTGTGTTCATTTTGTTTAGTTCTTTCGTTTAGTATAGAGCTTAGAAAAAATTCGCAGTGAGATAGGCAAGAAGTAAGGCATGTAGCAA